TACAATTACGTTCCCATTAAAAGCATTTTTGGGCAAAAAAAAATATTCCATAAAAACCCAATAGTCCTTCAGATCCACCACTAAATCCCCCTAGTCTTGTCTATAACTTCACACGTCCTGAAACTATGTCCAGGTTATTCAGTAGAACGTTAATTACCAGTAATTCACAGCGATTTTAAAGTAAATATAAATTTTTTTGACAAAATAGCCAAACTGAAAAGTTGACATAGAAGATTTTTCTTTTTTGACAATCTTTTTTTCAGTTTTGAGATGTGACGGACAAGATAGAATATAAACTGAGAAATAAGTGTCTAATAGGACTAATATGCAAGTGTTTATATAGCACCATATACGTGTTTTACAGTTAAGGTTCAACATTGTTAAGTTATTATTCCAGTTATTAAGGTGAACATAAATGCGGGGGGGGGAGGCGGTAAGATGAGTGAAGAAGGGGTAAGATGTGTGCAGAGAGACCAACAGAGAAGAAGGAAGAAGAAGAAAAAAGGGGGGAGGAGGGGGAGTAGAGGGTGGAGTTTTTATGAATGTGGCCAAGCTCCTTAGTTGAGTGGTTTTCATAGATTCTATTCTGGGGATTCGGGGACCCTGTCGCCCTCTGCTTGTATATATGCAAAATTCCAAACCTCCCTAGCTGGTATACTCTGAGGATAATTCTAATTCAGATCCATTTTGGACTAAAATTTGACATTTCGGACTCCTGACTAATCACACTTTAGTAAAAAAAAAAAACTGCCAGTGTGCATCTTGATCACTAGGTAAATAGTGTAACCAACTGCTTCAATATCGAAATATTAGTATGCATCTGCTACATGTATTTCCAAGCATTTTCAGAATTAGATTATTACAACAGCGGATCACATGTGGAGGTTTGATGACCTGACACAGATAGTGTTAGTGAACTAGGACTCTGCCAGTTCCTCATATGCCTTTACTCACTCAGCACTGTACTATGGAGATTCTGCAATCATTACCCTCTTTTTGCGTCACCGCTAAATGTAAATATTTTATTTCATGATCAATATTCTTTAGTAAAGAAGAAGAATATTTATATATGTTTTTTCATCTGGAAATACATGCACACAGGACTTTTCGTGGCCCAAGGAAGTGCAAATGAAAACAAATTAAAGGGACACTGTAGTCACCAAAACAACTTTAGCTTAATTAAGCAGTTTGGGTGTATAGATCATGCCTATGAAGTTTTTTTTTTTATTATTCTTTATTTTTGTCATGCATATATGACAGTGCAAGCATGCCTTGCCACAACAGCAATCGAAGACATAAGAATAATAAAAAAACGTAGCTATAAACAGTGTGGCAGTGGGACCGCACAATTTTTACATTTTGTAGGATAATGTATATTGTATGGAAACATATGTAGGACATAACAGTTAAGTATAATGTTGCATCAAATACTCTCTGAAGTTAAGAAAATATGTTAGTGAAGGGGGTATTAAATGGTATGGTGTATCCTAGGCCCCAGGTGAATTATATGCTGGCTTAGAGGAGTGGACCTCTATGATTCTCTAGGGGGTTAATGACCCCACTTACGAGGTGGTGAGATAGGTAGCATTATATAGTTAAGTAGCGTGGGGGAAAATTTTATAGGGTTCCACTGGCCGTTAGGGGTGTCTGATAGGCACTTTGAAGTGTGAGTCAGGGCCAATCATTCACTCCTAACAAGAACTTTAACAATAATAAACAGAAAAAATTAAACAGAACAATTTTCAAGGTTCTGTAGGTTTGTGCTTTTTGGGTACCATAGTGAGGTCTTCAGCGCTGTCAGCGCACCGGCACTCTTGAACGGCTTCCCCTGTGAGCTGCTGGTATGAACGGCATGACCCTCTCCAGGTCCCAGGTTGCTGATGTCGGCTGGGGTGTGGTCTCTGAGGCCGTTGTGAATATTTCCAGTTGGAGCAGGATGCCAGGAATTTCAGAAGCCCATGCCTATGAAGTTTTACAGCCGTTTAGGAGTTAAATAACTTTTGTTTCTGTTTATGCAGCCCTAGCCACACCTCTCCTGGCTGTGACTGATACAGGCTACATGAAAACACAACAGTTTCATTTTAAATCTGATGTAACTTACTTTGAAAGTTGTTACCTCCTGCTCTGTAAATTGAACTTTAATTATATACAGGAGGTTCCTGTAGGTTCTAGTAAGATATTAACAGAGCAGGAGATGAGAAACTCTAAATTAAAAAGAAGTTGCAACAAAAGAAGTATAAACATTAGATGTCTCTTTACAGGAAGTGTTTATGGAGGCTGTCTGAGTCAAATACAGTGAGGTGTGACTAGGACTGCATAAACAATTTGATTTAACTCCTAAATGGCTGAGAATTGAGCAATGAAACTGCAGGGACATGATCTGTCCCCCAAAACTGCTTCATGAAGGTACAGATGTTTTTATGTCTATAATGTCCCTTTAAGGTATTACTTATGGTAGTACACATCTTTTGAATGAGCTCTAGGGCCAAACTTTAATGTGTGAGAAAAATGCAGTAAAATAGATTACAATATTTACTATAAACATTAGCTGTAGTTGGTGGCCAAAAGGCCCATTGAAAAAGATCACTCATTAAAGGACCACTATAGTGCCAGGAAAACACACTCGTTTTCCTGGCACTATAGTGACCTGAGGGTGCCCCCACCCTCAGGGTCCCCCTCCCGCCCGGCTCTAGGGAGAGGAAAGGGGTAAAACTTACCTTTTTTCCAGCGCCGGGCGGGGAGCTCTACTCCTCTCCTCTCCTCCCATTCTGCTGAATGCGCACGCACGGCAGGAGCTGCGCGCGCATTCAGCCGGACTCATAGGAAAGCATTTACAATGCTTTCCTATGGACGCTTGTGTGTTCTCACTGTGGAGGCTGGATTAACCCATTTATAATACGAGGAAAACAAAAAGAATTAACCTAGGGCCAAAATTTAGATATCACAAGGTAGAGGGCACAAAAAAGGGGGGTAACCCCTAAATGGTGAATATCATAGAGAATAAACAAAAAAAGAAACAAATGCCATTCTACCTGTGTATGATTTACTGAGAAGATTGTAGATTAAAAAGTAACTTTTAATAAATAAATCTAAAATAAGAATATAAAAAAGAAAAATAATATGAACAGCAGGAGTAAATGGAGACTATACAGCGAATAAAACTCTGTGACTACTTATATAAGCTGTAAAAGTGTATACATAATAACACTAATGCTGAAGCAATACTGTTTAGCTACAATATAACAGTGTATTCCCAAGTAATAGAAGTGATACTATATTATATATCACTAATAGCTGTAGCAAAAGGGGGGGGAGATAAGACAACTGCTAAACCAGTGCTGTCAATAGTTAAACGATATGGATAAGTAAATCCCTACATGATAGTACAACTAACAACATGGGTTAACTCCACATACAATAATTGATAATGTTCTATGGTGCTTAACCTCAGAAAGATCAAAGATAATGGTTCAGCTAAGACAGATTTCTGACAGACGGCGATTAGACAGTTAAATATCACAAAAGCTGCCTAGATCATAGCAGCATTTTGATAATAAATTAAAGCTTGCTGTCAAGCAGTAAAGTATAAAGTAAGGGGTTGCTGACCTGGCTCCGTTTTTTTCTGCAAGATACCTAGCAGTATATTCTAGTGTAACAACAACAGCCTGCACTGAATGATGTTAACTTATGCTTGACCACAGTGGAGCACAAAGTAGTAGCTCACCTGTGAAGGACTGCTGACAGGCAGCAGTTAACTGGTTAAAAATCACACAAGTTGCCTAAATGCTAGCTGCATCTAAATAATAGGTCAAAGTATAAAGAGAGGGTTTACAAACAGTTTTGAACAGGTTGCCTAGGTAGTAGAAAATATACAGACAGTGACTATAGAAGGCATATAGAATAAAGATTCCTGAGTCCTTTGCCTTCGAGGGCACCCCTTAATAAAATGCCTGGTCTTATCAATCTCCCCCCATAAACATAATAAAGGAAAAAGAAAGAGAAATAAAGTATGTACAGAGTACACAAAATTAGTGTTAAGAGTCTCCAATATGCACTCCTGAAATGCTGGACATAAATGAACTTGATGTCGGTAATTTAGCAATAGATAAGCAGAGAGTTAGATGCCGACACCAATAATGTGTCAGTAAGTGTCCAGAGCCCCTGACGTGCACGTTTCGCCAGTGAAGCTCATCAGAGGGGAACCAGATGCTGGCAAACATAGGAGTATTTAAATCATAAGCTCTCAATTGATTGGAGGATTTTCAGGATTCTGACCAATGGTAGCTTGGGGAGCGAATCTCAACCATTAAGAAATAATTGACTAATTAACCCTATGTTGACCTGAATCTTATGTTTTTTTTATATTTTATTTTTTACTGAATGTTAAAAAGATTGATTATAAAAAAGAAAAGAAAAAGTGGAAAAGTGTAAGTAACAGTAATTCTCAAAATGACAATAATGTCATTATTTTAACTTATATGTGATTAACAATAGTGACATAGTTAGTTGAACGAACATAGCAACGTTTATCTGCTAAACTGTTTACTAATTAGTGCAGAATATATTAGTAGATTCCTAAACTTGTTGGCTAAAATGTAACATTAATGGGGGGTGGAGCCTGACTAACAAGCGGACTAGACGTGCATGTCGAGAGCTCCTGAGTCCGGAGCCAAGATTCTGGGTCTAACGCCCGACCACCCGTTCACATTGACTGCTAAACGCAATAATCGTGACAAGGAGACTGCACTGCAACCGGAGATACCCGACACTTGGCTCTCCGGTGCTGGGCGGACCAAATCGTAACCTGCGGCCTGTGCGGGTGGGAGCCGAGGAGAGACTGCCGCTCTCCCGGTTCTCTGGCTGACAAGGGAGCACTCCCAATTCACCTCCCAGACCGGTGGGGGTTATCCCGGTCCTTGAGGACCCAAGCTACCTCAGTCGAGGACGCCTCGGTGAGCCCTGCAAAACTCCCTAGTCACACGGGAAGGGAGTCACTCAAGATGGCGGAGGCACCAGGCCCTACAACACAAGGTCTGATACTGACACAACCTGTCCCAGCAGGCTCTAAGACCAATGTAACGGACACTCTGGGAGCCATAATCGACAAGTTTTGGGCCATGCTGCTCAACCGTGCAAGGCAAGCAACGACCGCACGGGAGCCCAATAAGGAAGACCGTGTAAGCAATAAGGAGAGGTCTGGGAGGCCTCGTACGGGCCGACAGCTACCCCACACTAATCCGACTACACTAAAGCGACGGAAGCCGCGGAAACAACACTACTAGCTGAGACAGCAAGCCGCGGACAGACGCCCTGCCCACCGCTGCCGTGCAGTACCGAACCCCAACATACCACCACCTGTCCTGGGCTACATGGAGAAACCACCACGGCCACCTTTGAGTCGCTCACCAGGCCGTCAGGGGCAAGCATCTTCCCACCAAACGAGAGAGACGCTGCCTGGCAAGTCACCACCATGCTGGACAGTCCGGTAAACCCTGTGGGTATAGGCTGAAAGGGATCAACCCGAGTGACATGTGGAGCTGGGGCCACCTCTCTTCACGGGACATTGTAACAGTCAGCAGAATAAGGCTCCGATATCCACACTCAGCATGTACATAGTTCATACTGTTGTTTAATTTTATATGTACCAGCTTAGGCATGTTATATGATGACGCAAGCTTGCCCTGACTAGATTGCCTAACAGATGGGGACCCTCACGAGTCCCCTGCCGTACAGCGTGGCGTCTGTGTGAGGCTGGCTTGTTTTTTGCCGCCCCTAAACCTGAAGCGGAGTCGGTTAACCTAGCTGCACGGATGTCTTGATATAATAATGTTATAATGTTGATAATATGTTGTACACGCAGCCATAACTGGGATCAGCCCTTGGGTCCTCAACCACACAAGCGCAGTCGAACAGAATAGTACATCCCTAGACATGTTGAACTAGCCTGTCACATAGTCACATAGTCTCTTTATACAATAACATCCCTCACAAAGTAGGCCTTGAAGCCACCCAATATTTTTTAGAAAAATCATCCAAAATTACAGCGTCCCAAAAGGATTTCCTTATGGAACTATTGAACTTTATATTAACTCACAATTATTTTGTGTTCAACGGCACTTACTACCTGCAAACTAGGGGCACGGCCATGGGAAGTGCTTGTGCCCCTAGTTACGCTAATCTGTATTTAGGGTGGTGGGAAGCCACAATTTTGAAAAATACGTTACAGACAGGATTTGATAAATTCATCATTAGTTGGCATCGTTACATTGATGATGTCCTGGTATTTTGGACTGGCTCAGTAATACAGTTCGAGGAACTTGTCTCGATACTGAACATCAACACTATTGGCCTACAATTAACTCATGTCATCAGTGAGGACAGACTAGAATTTCTGGATTTGGTTATTAATCTATCTCAAGGGGGTGAAGTAGATACCGAACTTTACAGAAAACCTACTTCGTGTAACAATTTCTTACATTGGAACAGCCATCACCCTTACAAACTCAAGGCAGGTATTCCCTACGGGCAATACCTGAGGGCAAAAAGAAACTGCTCGAAAGAAGAAACCTTTATAAAAGAAGCTAAGAACCTAAGGCTTCGCTTCAAACAGCAAGGCTATCCAAATAAAATCCTTAAAAAGGCATTCCAACGAGTCTCCAGTATGGACAGATCGACTAGTCTCAGAAATTACAAAGTGAAGGATACTAAACCTACAATTAGATGTATAGGCACTTATGATCAACTATGGAATCCCATTCGAAAAATCTATGCAGACAATTGGCCGATACTCACCCACAATAAAGAGGTGGCCAGTAATCTTTCTATATTCCCAAGTATCACAGCAAGACGAGCTAATAATCTGCGTGACCTGCTAGTTCATAGTCATCTTGAACCAAAACAATCACCTAAGACATGGCTACAAGAAACAAAGGGAATCTTTAGATGTGGGAAATGTAAGGCATGTAGGTTTATTAAACCTTCAAAATCAGTCCTATGCACCAATTCGCAGAAAACATATCCGATTAATGATTTTGTTAATTGCAGCACCACAAAAGTAGTTTACATCATTACTTGTAGCTGTAAACTACAATATATAGGAAAAACCTTCCAAGAATTGAGAAGGAGAATCCTACAACATGTGAATTCAGTCTCAAACCTAAACATTTCCACTCCCGTCTCCAATCACATAAGGAACTTCCATAACTCAGATGCATCTCATCTTACGTTTCAGGTTTTAGAACATATCCACCTGAACACTAGAAAGGGTAATTTTAATCTCACCCTATTAAGGAAAGAATCCAGATGGATACATGAATGTAAGACCTTAGTCCCTTTAGGACTAAATGAAGAATTAAATTTTACCCCCTTTATTCACAAATAAATGCATAATTATTTATTATCAATATTAATTTAGGTCTATTACAAACATTCTCTTTCCTAAAATCTTAAAATCCTAAAAACTTTCGTTAATGTTACATTTTAGCCAACAAGTTTAGGAATCTACTAATATATTCTGCACTAATTAGTAAACAGTCTAGCAGATAAACGTTGTTATGTTCGTTCAACTATGTCACTATTGTTAATCACATATAAGTTAAAATAATGACATTATTGTCATTTTGAGAATTACTGTTACTTACACTTTTCCACCTTTTCTTTTTTATAATCAATCTTTTTAACATTCAGTAAAAAATAAAATATAAAAAAACCATAAGATTCAGGTCAACATAGGGTTAATTAGTCAATTATTTCTTAATGGTTGAGATTCCCTCCCCAAGCTACCATTGGTCAGAATCCTGAAAATCCTCCAATCAATTGAGAGCTTATGATTTAAATACTCCTATGTTTGCCAGCATCTGGTTCCCCTCTGATGAGCTTCACTGGCGAAACGTGCACGTCAGGGGCTCTGGACACTTACTGACACATTATTGGTGTCGGCATCTAACTCTCTGCTTATCTATTGCTAAATTACCGACATCAAGTTCATTTATGTCCAGCATTTCAGGAGTGCATATTGGAGACTCTTAACACTAATTTTGTGTACTCTGTACATACTTTATTTCTCTTTCTTTTTCCTTTATTATGTTTATGGGGGGAGATTGATAAGACCAGGCATTTTACTAAGGGGTGCCCTCGAAGGCACAAGACTCAGGAATCTTTATTCTATATGCCTTCTATAGTCACTGTCTGTATATTTTCTACTACCTAGGCAACCTGTTCAAAACTGTTTGTTTGTAAACCCTCTCGTTATACTTTGACCTATTATTTAGATGCAGCTAGCATTTAGGCAACTTGTGTGATTTTTAACCAGTTAACTGCTGCCTGTCAGCAGTCCTTCACAGGTGAGCTACTACTTTGTGCTCCACTGTGGTCAAGCATAAGTTAACATCATTCAGTGCAGGCAGCTGTTGTTACACTAGAATATACTGCTAGGTATCTTGCAGAAAAAAACGGAGCCAGGTCAGCAACCCCTTATTTTATACTTTACTGCTTGACAGCAAGCTTTAATTTATTATCAAAATGCTGCTATGATCTAGGCAGCTTTTGTGATATTTAACTGTCTAATCGCCGTCTGTCAGAAATCTGTCTTAGCTGAACCATTATCTTTGATCTTTCTGAGGTTAAGCACCATAGAACATTATCAATTATTGTATGTGGAGTTAACCCATGTTGTTAGTTGTACTATCATGTAGGGATTTACTTATCCATATCGTTTAACTATTGACAGCACTGGTTTAGCTGTGGTCTTATCTCCCCCCCCCTTTTTGCTACAGCTATTAGTGATATATAATATAGTATCACTTCTATTACTTGGGAATACACTGTTATATTGTAGCTAAACAGTATTGCTTCAGCATTAGTGTTATTATGTATACACTTTTACAGCTTATATAAGTAGTCACAGAGTTTTATTCGCTGTATAGTCTCCATTTACTCCTGCTGTTCATATTATTTTTCTTTTTTATATTCTTATTTTAGATTTATTTATTAAAAGTTACTTTTTAATCTACAATCTTCTCAGTAAATCATACACAGGTAGAATAACCCATTTATAAACATAGCAGTTTACACAAGCCAAGTCAGGGAAACCAGAATTCAGAATAACCAGGGAAAAGCCAAGATCAGGATACCACGAAATCAGATTCACAATGATAAAGCACTCTCAGGAAACCAGGAACAAGAAACCACGACAGGGCAAGGTACTGGGGTGAGCTAGGGATTTAAATATCATGCGGCGGGCTGGCAGCCGCAACACCCTGTTACGTCCCGCTCATCAGGCCTTTTTTAGTCTAATGTATCGCCCACTGTCAGTCCCTTCGGGTTCCATCCCTCATTCATCTTAATAAAGGTGAGGTAATCTAGACTTTTTTGACCTAGGCGACTTCTCTTCTCAGTGACAATACCTCCTGCTGCACTGAATGTCCTTTCTGACAGGACACTTGAAGCGGTGCAGGCCAGAAGTTCTATCGCAAATTGGGATAGCTCAGGCCACAGGTCAAGCCTGCACACCCAGTAGTCAAGGGGTTCATCGCTCCTCAGAGTGTCGATATCTGCAGTTAAGGCGAGGTAGTCTGCTACCTGTCGGTCGAGTCATTCTCTGAGGGTGGACCCCGAAGGGCTGTGGCGATGCGTAGGACTTAAAAAGCTCCGCATGTCCTCCATCAACAACACGTCTGTAAAGCGTCCTGTCCTTGCCGGCGTGGTCGTGGGAGGAGGAGGATTACTTTCACCTCTTCCCCTGTTAGATTCCCGTTGTGCTGTGACATCACCCTTATACGCTGTGTAAAGCATACTTTTTAATTGATTTTGGAACTGCTGCATCCTTTCCAACTTGCCGTAATTCGGTAACATTTCAGGCACTTTCTGCTTATACCGGGGGTCTAGTAGCGTGGACATCCAGTACAGGTCGTTCTCCTTCAGCCTTTTTATACGAAGGTCCCTCAACGGGCACGACAGCATGAAAGACCACATTTGCACAAGTTTGGATGCCGAGCTACTCATGTCCTGTTCCTCATCCTCAGTGATCTCACTGAAGGTATGTTCTTCCCCCCAGCCACGTACAACACCATGGGTACCAAATAGGTGACAACGAGCACCCTGGGATGCCTGTTCTGGTTGGTCTTCCTCCTCCTCCTCAAAGCCACATTCCTCCTCTGACTCCTCTTCCTCATAATCCTCTTCCAGCATTGCCGCAGGTCCAGCAAGCGATGCTGATAAGGCTGTTTCTGGTGGTGATGGTGACCACAACTCTTCCTCTTCCTCTTCACGCTCATCTATGGCC